CATCCCATCCCCTCTCCCTCTCTGGCTTTTAGGCTCTGCTTCAGAGCAGATAGCCTGGACGCCAGTTGGAGGAGTCTGGGTCCAATCTCCAACTCACAGCAAGCAGCAGTGACTAGTACAAGGACATTTTTTCAGACATCCCCACGTGCTGGATGGGAGCAGGGCAGTTGCTCTGCTGCCTGCAGTGCAGGTTAGATGAAGGGAGGTAGGAAGATGGAGCATGCTCAGGGAGGCGAAATCTTAGAAGGTTTGAACTGCTGAAATGAATTCCTATTGAATATGGAAAAACTGCTGTCTTTCAGATGTTTATAGCTTGGCCAAGTATGGACAGATTTCTAGTAGGACAGGAAAACTCTCTGTTAAAAAGGTTATTCTGCAGCAAAATCTCAGATCCCTGTTCCAGGATTTGCAGTTGCTAGATTAGCTCAAGGAAAAGGTTGTAAGTGGTTTTTTTCTAACAGGGGTAAGCCACTATCTTGTTTCCTAGCCTCATTCTCACAAGTGGCCAAGCTGTTTTGGCTAAAGATTTCTGGAAGAATTTGGGCTGAGACAGGCACCCAGCATGGAAACTTCAGCTCCAAGACTTAAAGTCTGAGCCAACTGGAAAAAGGGTCTAACGAGTGGCTAGTGTCAGGCAGGCTTAGTAACACAGTGCTCACAACTGTCAGAGCTCACGTCCTGCTGCCGGTCCTGCATCTGGAGCCCTGACCTCCACAGGGCTGCAGGGCTCTTACTTATTTTTCTGGTGCAGAAAGGCAGATCTTGGAGGCAAATTCAGCCTGTGAAGCTCGGGACAATGCAAATTACTGTCATTTCAGGCTGTGCAAAGTTTTGATGATGTTCCTGCTTTAAAATACTCTGCCTGCTCCTTTCTAGCCCTGTGCAGCGTTGCATGTACGTGAGTTTTGACGATGTAGTTGATGTGAGGCTACAGGTGGCCAAGAAATAACTCCAGCCTAAGGAAGCTCCCAGAAGGAGGGATTTTAGCTCCCTGCTGTGACTGTGGAGTGGCTCCATGGGCTGTGTGTTGGTACTGCATGCGACAGGGGTACGGATTTACCCTGAATCAGTCTTGGCTGCAAATCCTGAAGCTCTGACCTTCCCCTGTGGCTTAACAAGCAGTTATTGAGGTAGCAGTGCCAGCTTTGCCCACCTGCCTCTCCCCCCATGCAGCACCTTTGATGGCAGTGGCACAGCTGAAAGGTGACATTTCTGACCCTGCTGAGCTGTGTGGTCAGGTTCACGGGGTGGCTGCACAGGCGCGAGCTGAGAGGTGTGTGGTGACAGGAGCTGTTTAACCAGTGCTGGCATTAAAGGGGACGTTTGCTGGGTTGCAAGGGGAGAAGTTGAAGAGGGAACATGTTGTGGTTGTTAGTGCTGGATGATTTCCTGCAGAGTATCACTGCTGTGGCTGCTGGTGGCATACAGGAGCCACAGCTCTGACCACCTCGGTGCCCGTGACCTCATGGCAGTGTCTTTTGCATGTGACTTCTCTGTAGTTTGCCTGACACCTCCACACTGTGCCCCTGCTGTGCAGCATGGCTGGCTGTGAATTGGGAGGGTTATCTGATTACAGCCTGATACGGGGTTTCGGGGAGGAAGTGGAGTGGATTTGTGGCAGCTTTAGCTGTTGGTGTGCCATCGATGCCACCTGAAAATGTCTCTGTTGCTAAACTTCTGGTGACTGCCTGCAGGGATAGGATGAGGCACTGCCCATGGCACTGTTGTTGTGCTTCTCCTGAGCATGGTGTGGGTCTGGGGAAACAACTCTGTGAATTACATGGTTTGCCCTGAGCTGGGCAGTCAGCATCTCTCTGCCTGCTCTTGTTGGTCTGTTGCAGCTGCTGTCCGCAGGTTTTATTAGTGCTGTGCAACTGCAGGTACAGGAATGACCTAAGTGTCACTCCAGCCTCCAAGAACATCTCTTTCCAAGAAGTTTGGGTCTTAATGTGTGTTACCAGCAGCACAGACCGTTGCTCAGCTCAGAGGTAATGATGCCCTGTGGGGTCCAGAGCAGATTTGTTGCTTCAACTCTATTTCAGCTTACCTTGTAAAAAGTGTTTTTTCTCTTAGTGCCAGAGTAGGCTCAGACACAGTGAGCTCTGAGTGAGAGACCTCACTGTGGCTGAAGAGAGTTGGTTTCCTTACTGCCCATCCTCAAAACATTCCACAAGTTTCTATCTAAACACTCCAAGTGCTCTGCCTTGTGATTGTATTCTCACCTTGACTGTTCCCTGTAGCCAGGGCAGCCTGGGATTTGCCACCCCACAACCTCCTCATCACACAGTTGTGGCTACTGGCTCCCAGCTCAGGGAAAGCCCAAGCTCCCAGTCTCCCAAGGAAAGTGGTGACAAGGCATAAAGAGAAAGTTTGTCCTGATTTATGGTGTTTTCCTCTTTTGTCCTACAATTAAGCTCTTAAGAGCCTTTGCTGACAGGGCTGGGAGATGGAGTGCTGGTGCATGTTCAGGGGTCTTGGAACAAGCACCCACCTAGATGCTTGTTCTTCCCTGCTCTGTTGCTCTGGGGGAGCCTCCTGGAAATGAGGCAACAGGCTTGGCCAGAGAGTGAACTTTCAGGACTGGGTGAGTTTTATCCAAGTTAGTGATGGGATGACAGCACCCACAGTAGCTGGGCTGGAACCATGGGGAAGCAGTCCTTAACTGTGGTGTCCTGTTCCTCTTACCTGAACAGTGGGTAGCTTCACAGGCTGTACTGGGGCTGAGTATTGTTGCAGTATGTTGGAGCACCATGGTTTTATAAGCTGGTGGGCACATGGTTCATGTCTGTGGCAACACAAGATATTTGGTGGAGCTGTGGACATACTGGTCAGCCTGAGTGAGCAGGTTGCAGACAGCTGTATCTGCCACAGTTCATGTGCAAGAAACTTTTAACTGTATTTTGGTTGTTGAATGTTGTGTGGGGAACTTGTAGCCTGCAACAAGAGCTGCTGGTGACAGTGGGAAGGGCTGAGGTCCTGGGACCAAGCCTGGCCATGACCACCACAGCACATTGCTCCGGTGCTTGGAGCCAGTCTCTGAAATATGGGGAGCTCATCACCCTCACCATCACAAACACCTTTAAGCTTTGCTTGTTTTGGAGGGGGAGGATTTTGCTTTTGCAACAGCCCAGTTTGAGGGTTACTGTGAGTCTGGCTTGCATGCAGTGCCCAGAGTCCTGGGGCTGCTGCCCACTCAGAATGTGGGGGTGTTTGCTGAATGCCCAGAGATTTTCACCCCCCTCCAGGGACTCTCCAGACTCAGGTGTGGCAGCTCAACCACTGTGGTCTTGTGTTTCTGTTTAAGACAAGAAGTAAAGAGAGTCCAGCATCTCACCCGAGTGCAGGAGGAGGGAGCACAGGGAAGATGACTGTAATTTCTTGAACTGGACTGCGGCCAGAGCACTGGGACTAACACTCTTAATTGTGGGAAAGGCTTCATGAAAGAGATTTACTGTCCCAGAGTGGTCACATCTTTAGTTTTATGTTTCCTCCAAAAGCTGACAACCCCTGCAGCACAGCACTTCCTACCATTGCTCTGCTGCACCAGCTCAGCCCTGGCTCTGGGAGCAGAACACCCTCGTTTGCCTACCAGGCACCTTTGGTGCCACCCTGGGTTACCCTCAGTGATCTCCCCACGGTGTGCTGAACTCATTGATAGCTGTAACAGCTGGCCAGATCGAGCCTCAGATATTCCTCCCATTTTTTTCCCGTGTTTTCTAGGTGTGTTTTAGTCTTTCTCTGGTTGTTTTTAATCTCCCACCTCATTGCTCTGAAATGATTTGCACTTAAAACCCTACTGTTTGTTCTCTGCACCTCAGGTGTTTTGCTAGCCCCGGCTGAAATGGGGTCTCAGTGTCTTGCTCTAATCCTCTTGCCCTTTGCTCAAAATCCCTGTTCTGCCACATCAGGGGAGTTCAGCTTCCAACACCTTCTCCAAGCTGACGTGCAGCTGGTGCTCACGTCTGCGGCGGAGGTGGCTGGGAGCTGGGGCTCTGTGGGGGTTCTCCCCCCCCATCCAGCACTGGGACATCACTCACAGACACTGGAGTCAGCACCTGTGTGTTTGTGTTCACTGTGCAAATCCTCTGCCTGGCTCAGGGCAGCTTTTCTCAGGGTGGAAACCCTGGTCCTGCAGCAGTGATGCACAACCCAGCGAGGAGCATCCTGCGCAGCGCAAACAGCACGGGAGGGTGAGAACCTCCTAAGTGGTGTGGGTACATCTCGTTCTGCATGGTTCTCCCCAGCCAGCCTCTCCCCCACATCTCAGGGGAGGATGTGAATGGTGGGCAGAGGCTGCCTGTGAGGCTCAGAGCCCTTCTGGGAGTGTGCGCGGGCAGCCTGGCATGCCCCTCGGTGCTCTTGGCATCACTCAGCGTAACCCACGCCCGGCTCCAGGCAGTTCCCTCGAGCCAGCTCCCTGCTGCTCTCAGCAGCCTCAGAAGTGGTTTCTGGCTGGGTGTAGATGTGCCGGGGGGATTTGCTCTCGCTCCGAGCCAGCTCTGTTTGGAAGAGCTGTGGTTGTGTGGCATCTACTTGAGTAACAGTTCCAATTAAGCTCTATTGACAAGCTGTTGTGTGACTGCTGAACTAATGGGAGGAGCCCCCTCCTCAGCTGCTGAGGTTAAAACTCCAGCAGGGACAAAGATCAAACATGCAGCTAATTACCCTTTTAACACTGAAACATACCCCCCTCCTTCAGAGGAAGGCATCAGCTCCGAGCAGCAGCTTCTGTGCCGGGAGCCCTGAGTGCCAGCTTGGTCCTGGCTGGCTCAGCACGTGCAGTGGGGTTGGGCATGGTGTGGGCAGTGTGGCTGCAGCCTCTTCCCGCTCCAGGGCAGCTACTCAGCACCTTTTTCCTGCCTTTGTGGAGCAACTAAGTTCAGGACAGGTGTGAGCTGAGGAATTGCTCATCCCTGCCCCATGAGGGATGCAGAAAGGGAGGCTGTGAAGGTGAAGCAAGATGGATTTTCTGACCCAAACCCTCTCTCTCTGTCTCCTAGAGTGCATCTCTGAAGACTGCCGCTCTGTCATCCAGGAACAGGCCACAGCCCTGGGGCTCTCCATGTTTGCACTCCTGGTGAGGAGGTGCACCAACCTGCTGAAGGAATGTGTGCCAGGTAAGGGACTACCAACAGGATCCATGCAAGGGCCCACGAGACAGCCTGGTGGGGTTCAGGCCCTCATTCCCTGCTAATTTGTACACTCCTTCTCCTCTGCTGGGGCTTGTGCATTCTCCCCCAGCATCCCAAGTTTATGGCTGCATCACCTGCAGAAAAGCCCCTGATGTGTGCAGGCAGAAATGTTTGGAAGAAAGGGATGGACTCAGGGCATGCTTTCTGGCACCTATTGGGAAACTTCCCGAAACTGAGGTCTCGGAATCCTGTGTCTATGACTGGTGCAGTGGCACCCTGCTGCCCTTAAGAAAAGGAATCACAGACATCCTGGCTTACCCCCCAAGCTAGTCTGTGTCGGGAGAACAGATCTGTCTTTGTGCTTGCTGTGGGTTGTGGCTGTTCCCTTGTGTCCAAGGTTTGGGTGTTGGGATCTGTGTTGTGCATTCCCAGTCCCTGACTGAGCCTGGCTGTGGTGAGCTGCCTCAGCTCTCACATCTTGTATTTGCAGTTCAGCCACAAGAGATGGAACAGGAGGATGAGGAGGATGACATCAAGGTCTCTGCCTTGCCCCAGGACCTGAAGGAGCTGCTCCCCAGCGTGAAGGTCTGGTCAGACTGGATGCTTGGCCACCCAGACACCTGGAATCCTCCTCCGACCTCTCTCGAGCTCCCTAAACAGTATGTGCATTCTCTGGTCTGTCTTCTGTTCCCCCCCGGGCTCCTTGTGCCACCCTTCCCCCTTGCTCATGCTTACTGCTGGCTGTGGCACTCCGACCTGAGCACCCAGGCAAGGCTCAATTCCCAGCGGATATTTAGGTGGGGACTTGTCGCCCTTGGTGACACAATGACTTCTTCATTGATGCACAGGTGGGGCTGGAGGGTCTCTGAGAGGGCCTGGTGAGTGCCCTTTGCTTCTGTCTGTTAGAAGTTGACTCGTGAGGTAGATTTTTACCTTCTGCTTAGGTTGTGTATCTGGCTTTGTTGGGATACTCCTCCTTTAGGTGTTCTGTTGGCCTGGCCAGCTGGACAGGCAGGGCCTTCCTCTAGACCAGAGGGAGCTCCACTTCCGGCATAAGTGTTTTGTTGCCTTTTTTTGACTGAGTCAGGCCAACCTTGGTTGGGCTGGGCTGGCCTGGAGCAGCTTGCATGTTCCTGGAGCTTCAAAGGTCACCTCTCCTCTGCTTCAGAAACCGCTTGTCTCTATCCTGCGATGCACAAAAGAGTTAATTTTCTAAACTGGCCGATTTCAGCCCATTAGTCCATAATGCGGACTAGGCAATTTGCATATTTTTGGACAGAAAATCGAGTGAAGGGGCCAAGTATGGAGTATGCGAAACAGCGTCTGAGCATGCTCCGTAGCTGCTTTCCCGCAGGATTTTCCATCTGCCTCCGGTACTCCGGATCCAGAGCCTGAAATCACGTCTTATTGTTAATCCAAAGGAGCCAGAACCCAGGGTGATGGGAAGGCGCATTAAGAGTAATCCAGCAAAGTGGCTTAACCATTAATGGGTCCCCACTCCGTGCGTCAGGTCCAGTCCTGCTCTCCTAGTTTATTGCCTCTTACTCCAGTTCTTTTTCATTTGGCTGAGGAAATGGAAATCTCACACAGGAAGTTCTGGGCCTCATTTTGTGGAGATGGAGTCTGTTTTCTGTTTGTCGGCTGCTCGGTGTGGGACTGCTGCCTGCTCATGTGAACTGCTGCCCATCTTTGGGCAGGAACTCAAACTGGGATCCGTCACGTGAACCCGCCTGCACCAATCCCCCCTTCCCCTCACGCTGCCTGCGCAGGGAGCTGCTGAGCCCTTGGCCACGGGCAGCCTCGAGATGGAATTTCTGATTGGGTTCACACAGCCAGCGCTCGGCGCCTTCCCTGGGACAGGCTGCCTCCCCCTCCTGCAGGGCATGGGGCTGTGTCCCCCCAGGGTGATGGAGCAGGTGCAGGCTCCTCCTCACCCATTGGGGTCGGAGAAGGTGGTGACAGCCCACCCAGTGGCATGTGGCTCTTTTGGAAGTAGTGGGCATGGATTGAGGGACTCTAATTCACAGCTCTGCTCAGTGGAGAAATAAGAGTCTTCATCTTGCCACAGAGGCCCAACTGTTTCCCCACTGTGCCCTCTTCATGGAGGGTGGCTGAGCAGCTCATCTTGTCTCAGCCTGCCCCATGTTGTTTCCCAGGTCCTCCACCCTGGTGCTCTTTGGATCACCTGGAGAATCTCTCTTTACCCACAGCAAGGAGACTGGCTGTTCTTCAAGCCCAGATGTCTTGTGTAGATGGGTGTTGGTGGTCCAGGACTCTGGGACAGCAGTGGCTGAGCTTCTGTAGAGATGCAGGTAGTGATGAATAGCAGGGAGCCAGCTCTGCTTTTGGGCATGGCCTGGGATTTGCAACATTTTCTCTGGGCATAGGAGAGGAAAAGGGGAGCACTGGGTTAGTGTTTCAGCTCTCTATTGACACAAGCCTGCTGGCTGCCCTGGGGCTTCTTCAGTAACCAGGTAGAGTCACCAAGTCCAGGGGTTTAGATAGGAGCAGCTTCAAAGAAGTTTAGAAGTAAAACATGGGTCAGAGCAGCAGGCGTGGTGGAGTAAGCCAAGGTTTATGGGCAGGGTGAGCTCAGGAGTGGGGAAAGCATGCAAGGAACAAGTGCAGATTCCAAATCACTGAGCTGAGTAAGGGGCCTGTGCTGTGATACACATGCTCCATGCCTCATGCCAGTGGGATGTGCCATAAGGTCCCATCAGTGCCAATGGGAAAGCTGCTTGGACACACTTAAACAACTTTCATTGCCCTTTGTGATGACATGGCCACAGAAAGGGAACAGTAAAAATCCCCTGCAGAGATGCCATGAATGTGCTAAAGCTTCTGGAAAAACCAGGCCTCATACCCACCTGGCAGCCCACTAGGAGCCTAGAGCTCTCATCAAAGTGCAGCTCATCCGGGCCAGCAGTGCTGGGCTCAGGGCCAGCAGGGCAGTTTGTCAGGGCTCCACCAGAGCCTCGGGTGCGCACTGCCAGCGCGGAGCGTCCCAAGGCCTCTGCTCACGCTGCGTTCGCCATGTTCACAATCGCTCCTTCTTCGGACTGGAGAGAGCTGGGGGACTTTGAGAACGCCTAAACTCAGCCCAGCTGTGGCAGTTGGTTTATTGCTTTCAGCTGGTACTTGAACCCAGGTCCTGGTCTTGGAGTCTTTCCCAGGTTTAATCCCCGGAGCTTTCTCTGCAGCTGTATGACACTGCGCTGACCCCGAATGAGGATAGGAAAATAGAAACGGTGCCAAGCCAGAGTCTCTTTTTCATTTGGAGTCTGGCTGTCTGCCCATGACCAGGGTTACATAATGGGAAACATAGCTGGGGCTCTGGAGAGCCCGCGTTTCACCACGCTGCCCAGACCTTCGCGTTCTGATGCTATATATCTTCCTAATTGTAGCTCGGATGCATTTATCACACTGCTGGATTTGAGTCCTTACAATAAAATAAAAAAAAACCAACCCCACACCAAATTCCTCAGCTCGCTGCTTTCCCCCTTGGACAGAGGCGGAGGGAAAGGTGTGAGGGGTGAGTGCTGCCGAAACCCAGTCCATGGATGTGAGCCATGCAGGAGTGGGCTCTGTGGAGCAGGATGAGAAGCTCAGGAAGCTGTGTCTTCACAGCTCCCTTCATGGGAGTTTGGGAATGATCCCTGGTTCCTGGCAGGCATCTTTTCCGTGCTTGGGGGCTCAGTGGTCCCAAATTCAGCCTGAGTGAGAAGCTACTTAGTCTAGTGCACTCATCCAGCTCTTAGCCACACTGCATGGTCACCATGGCTCAGGGAATGCCCTGGAACAGGTTTTCAGGTGATGTACTGCCTAAATCCCTCTCTTGGGGCTGTTACGTATATTTGAGAGGTGAAGGGTGTCCTTCCTATTTGGGAAGAGGAGCTCAGCAAGCTTTCCATGGCTCCTTCCTCATATGTTTCCAGAATCAGAGCTAAACTTAACCTTGGACATCTCTGCTTCAGAGCAGCAGTGTCCCATGTCTCAGGAATTGTGTGTCTGGTCCAGGTGTTGCCACAGCTTCTAGCAGGAAGCAACAGTCATTCTGTATCTTAAAATTAATTTATATCTGCATGTTTCATGGCAAACCTTGCATTGAGGTCTGAGCAGGCAGTCAATTAAAGGAGCTGCACTGGGTTGGAGTAGAGGTTTTCAAACCCGTTGTCCCCAGGAGCTGATTTGTAGAGATTGAGGTGTAAAAGCAGGAACTCCTGCGGAGAGGGAGCAGGGTGGATCCACTAAGGCAGGGGTATTAGCAGCAAATGGGGCAAAAGGTGGATCTCCAAGGAGGCTGCTGTCCAAGTGAATCCATCTCCCTTTGGGACATATGGCTGTGAAGAGGGCTGGGCAGGGGAAAGCCAAGCTGCTTCTTGCTCTGCATTGTTGCCACAATTAATCCATTGCTAAATGAAGCACGGGGGAAAGCCACTGGCTAGACAGACACACTGCGGCAGGGCTGACCCTGGCAAATCCACGTTCCTTCCACGCAGAGCGAAGGGCCTCTCGGTTTGTGGAGACTGTCTGCAAGCATTTAAAAATGGTTAATTTAAACCAAGTACTAAATTAAATCCAAAAGCTGCGAGCATATTCTGGAGCTTACCTTCCCAGAGAGATCTGCCAGATCGCTCTCATCACATCACTCTTGTGGAGAAGTGTCACTGAGATGGCAGCTCCCACTGGGAGAGATGGACAGAGTCTTGGACAGGGGTGCCAAGACATTGCTGGAGACTGAATGGAAAATCCCTTTTGCAGATCCCAGCCTCAGTAACACTGGCCACCAGAGTTTCTCTATCAAGACATCAAAGTGAGGATTCAGAGGTGTCTTGGTAGTGTAAACCTGGCTGACAATGAAGGTGAAGTTGACTGAAGCAGAAGCCAAAAGTCTCTGTGGAGGAGGAGGCTGTGGCAAAGCAGAGGATGGCTGAGAGGAGACTGCATCTCTCCTGGGGAGGAGAGCATCCCTCCAGCTCCATAAGCAGGTTCCTGGGAGAGAAATGGGTTTATGGGCATCCATAAAGGAGGGGTTAATTGGCTGGCCAAAGGGACTGTGTGCAGGACAGAGTGGGGGAAGTCATTGATGCACATTGATGTGACCACCTATCTGAGCCCAGAACAAGGTTGGTGAACATCTCCCATGGCCAACCCTCTTTGCTCCTTACAGAGGAGCTGCTTTTAGTTCCGCTTCCCCCGATATGGGAGAGAAGAAGCCCAAGGTGCAGAGCAGCTCATCCGGTGGGCACTGTGAGCCGGTGGGTGCGCGGTGCCCGGCCTGGGAGCGCG